TCACCTCATTGTGCCTCTTAGTACTTAAACCTTTGGTGAATTTTTTTCTCTCGGGAGGCGACAGGATAGTGTTGGACTCAAATCGACTAAAACCCCAAGGTGGTCATCCTGATGTTTGGCAAGGGTTTCTTTCAAAATACTACCGGGGCACCCCTTCGTCTTCTCCCGGTTAAGGGAGGCATCCTTGACTGAATTGGGCCGCTAGGGGGGACCACACCCCCTAACGCCACGTTCCCTTGACCGTCGTGCAAGTCCGAGGGGGGCGCAGACACCCTTCGGCGTGACGGCTCCTTTAACGGCCCTAGGGCAGTGGCGTGCCGAATCCCTTCGGTGCAACACTTTAGCTGGATCCTGTCTTTTCTCCCTCTTCCTCTCCGTTCGCTCCTTCGTGAGCATGACTTGCTCGCAGTAGGAGTCGATGGCGATGAGCTCCTGATGCCTCATCAGCATCGCCTCGACGACCACATCGGGGGCCAATCTCTCGCCGATGGCGAGCCGCAAGATACGACACGGTTCTTCCCAGGCTGGACAAAACTCCAGCGTGTGCTGCGCCGTGTCATCCTCTTCCTCGCAGTGGTGACGGATGGAAGTCCCCTCCCGTCGAATCCTTAGCAGGTACTCGCCAAATGCTCCGTGGCCAGTGAGAACCTGCGTCGACCTGAATGTCGGCGGAACCCCGCCTCGGTCCCTCCAAGCCTCCCAGTTGGCGACCGGCCCTCAGTTTCGTCTCCTCCCGGACGTCTTGGGTCGACTGGCCGGCGGAGGGCGGGGTACACCCGTCCGAGCCCAGGCCCCTCAGGTGTTCGTACACCCGTCGGAGCGCAAGGGCCTGCAACTCGAACGGAGGGGACGCCGCCAACACAGCCGCCGAAGCGAAAGATATGGTTTGATATCCTCTCACTATGCGGGTAGCGGTCGTCCTATGCAACCTCCTCAACAAGAGTAAGTTGCGACAACTCGCCATCAGGTCTTCGACCCATACAGGGGCCCCGTAAAGGACTCAAGACCGAACCACTCCCTCGTAGAGTCGGCGAAATCCATCTCCTGCTCCAACGATGTTCGGTAGTAAGCCGCATAGGGGGTTGGCTGCGGCTGTCACCTTTGGAACCAGGAGCTCGAAGTAGCTGGGAGTGAGAGCCAGGTATTTCAACTGATATCTCACCGGGACTTCTTTTCCGTTGATATACACAAACAGTCCAGGAGGTGAGGTTCCTCTACGGTGGTGATCGAAGAACCACAAGGCTTCGGACTTTGCTGGCGACGCGCTCAAGCCGAGCCTCTGAATGACGCGTATTACGCATGCCACGGCGGCCCCGGTGAGATTCACGGCCTCGTTCCACCAACGTCCCCCGGCCAGGACCAAGGTATCGTCGGCGTAGCACACCATGCCTGTGCCCGGGGACATAGGACATCGAAGGACCAAGTCGTGATCCACAGGATGGGTCCCAGCACTGAACTCTGTGGAACACCACGCTCGACCGGCCTCCTCTCTTCACCATTTTTGCCGGTGTACGCGACCTATCTGTCGCTCAGATACGCTAGAATGACACGAACGAGATACGACGGCACCTTAAAGTGTTCCAGGGCCTCCACAATCCCGTCCCAGAGAATGGCGTTGAAGGCGTTCGTGACGTCCAAGAAGACTGCCAACGCCACGCCTTCTCGGGAAACCATGGCCTCCGCCATGGACCTCACTCATTTCACAGCGTCCACCGTCCAGCGACCGCGTCGAAAGCCATACTGGCTATCGTGCCATCCAGGCACTCGCTCCGACATATGGGCCTTCAGACGGGTGGCAATTATCCTGTCAAATAGCTTGCCCACCTCGTCCAGAAAGCACACCGGCCTATACGCGGACGGCGAGTCCAACGGACGACCTTCTTTCCGTAATAGGACTAATCTCGCCGTCCGCTATGTCCGGGGGTAGACACATTCCCTCATGCATCTGGTGAATAGGTGCCGTAGACGAGGAGCCAAGGTGTTGATTGACTCCGCCCAAACCCAGCCTGGGATTCCATTCGGATCCGGTGCCGCGTTGCGGAATGCCATCCTCTTTGTCGCTTCGAAGAACTCTTCCTCGGTGACTCGTAACTCTTCGCCCCACTTCGTCGTCGTCGTCGTCCCGCTGGAGGAGGAGGATGGGCATGACTGCCTCGCATCGTTGTCTTGCCGTAGGAACAAAGTACCCATGACATTAGCAACATCGGATCCATGTGCGCGGTCAGCGGGGAGTGGGGGCGAAGGTCGAACTTCTCCGTTACTAATCGATAAGGCCGCCCCTGCGGATCGGATTCGACCGATTCGACCATTTCCGTCCAGGACCGAGCTTTCACGATCTTGATCTCCCGCTGAAGAGTGCGTCTCGTCTCTCTGTATGCTTCGTAGTAGCGGGTGATCTCTGCCTCGTCGCGTATCCGCCTACGACGACGGGCCCTTAGGAGTCTTCTGCGGGCCCGAACGCAGCTCGCTCGCATTTCCGCGATGTTGGGGGTCCACCAGTCTACACATCGGTTGTGTCTACCACCAGAAACGGAGCGCGGCATCGAGGCGTCACACGCCGCGCTCACGTCTTTTCGGAGGCTTTCCGCCTCCTTGTCAACGCTTCGCGACGACTACACGGCATCTCCTTGTCCTTCTCTTTGAGACGCCACCTTCGTGGTGGGAGGCGGGAACGGTTTACTCCTCGGATACTGCTAGCCTGTGTAGCAGCAGATGTAGTCTCAAGGACCACCTCCATCAGTATGTAGAGGTGGTCGGACAGAGTCTCAACCCCGTCGGCCACTCTCCAGTTGTAGATTCTTCGGTACACCTCGGAGGTAGTCCAGGTGACATCGACCACAGAAGATCCCCTCCTCGCCACGCAAGTGCTTGCCGAGCCCCTATTTGCCAGTAGGAACCCCAGACCTGCAGGCCAATCGGACAGCATCCTTCCACGAGTGTCCGTTCTGGCGTTTCCCCATTGCGAGGAGTGGGCGTTGAAATCCTGAAGGACGAGTACCTGGCGGGGAAGGTATCTTCTGATGCATTCGCCAACTCCGTCCAGGAAGTCCCCAAACGTAGCCAAGCCGCTGTTAGGGGAAACGTAAACGCCCGCCACTACTATTCCAGCTCACTCGGCCGCGACATAGCCGCTGCCAAGGTCAAGCAGGACGTCGGGGGCACTCAGCGCTGACGTCGGCTGTTGACCATCTAGGACCCCGACTTAGTTGGGGGCGTTAGATACACGATATGGCTCAGCCACCACCGCAAGGGCGATTTCGCTCTTCCGGATGGTCTGGATGATCCTGCGTCCGTCTTGATGTTCCAAGGTTACTTTGGAGGAGGCGCTTGAAATTATTGTGTCAACTCCATGGCCCCCTCCCGGCCATCTACCGGTGCTGCTTTGGCGGTGCTCCCTTGGTTCCTTTCCGCAGCTGGCTCACGGGTGGGTCTTCTCCTCTTGACTTTCGGGGGAGCGCATGCCGCCCCGCCCATCCTGTGGTCGGCGGGTACCCCGAGCACAGGGTGCAGAGGCATGACAGCCTCTAGCACGATGTCTGCTTCCGCCGCATCTGTATCACAGGTGCCCTCAATCCACAGTGGACACGCAAGTTGCTCG